CCTCCACGCGGTTCCCCCTGGAAACCATCGTGATAAATTACTGATGAATTTGTCACGATGGGCTAACTGACCTGACCTCATGCTCATCTTATCATCCTCCACTGGTCCCCGCCAGCGTAAACCGTTAGCGCAGGCAGGTGCACCATTTCATTATAATACAAAAAAAAAATACAAGCTGTACCGGTATCACCCGCGTCAAATTTATAACCTACTAGCTACTCGCCCTGGCTTCGCCCGGGTGTACATGTATTATACATATAAATCTTTCTCTTGAATCACTCTATCTATTTAAAAAACCGCTTCAAAATTCATTGCATCTTTTTAAAGATTTAAGCGTACAAGGAACGGACAGACAGTGACAGCGATTTTTATACTATGTAATGACTAACAGACCCGGCCACGCGTTGCTGTGGCTAAGGTCAAATAATATTGCGACTATAAATTGAGATCTAGTGGTAGATAAAAAACAAATTGTTATGACTATTCAAAAGTGCTTAAATTAAGTTTATTTGAATAAATGATTTCTATTCTATTCTATTCTATTCTATCATATCTTTCAAGTTGGATCAAATTGCATACAATGTGTAAATTAATTTTGCAATCGGTTCCGTAGTTTAGTAGTCCATCGCGGACAAACAACTTGACATGTCATTTTTATATATAAAGATGTTTTATTCAATACAATGTTTATTGCATTCCATTATGTTTACAGTGAAAGATGTTAATTGGTACATGTAGATCCATATGGACCCTGTTAGACCTCCCAGACATAACAACATTATTATTATAAACTAATTATCAATATTTAATATTATATATAATTTAATATTATTAATTCATATAATTATATAGTGACATTCATATATTACTTACATATAAAAACTAAAGTACATCATTTAAATAATCAGTTACAGTACAGTACTGTTTATTAAATAGTAACTCCTTTAAATATTTTATAAATAACTAGCTACTCACCCCGGCTTCGCCCGGGTGTACATGTATTATTATACATATAAACCTTTCTCTAGAATCACTTTATCTATTAAAAAAACCGCTTCAAAATCCGTTACGTAGTTTTAAAGATTTAGGCATACATAAAAGATTTAAGCGTACATAGGAACGGACAGACAGCGACTGCGACTTTGTTTTATACTATGTAATAAGGATAATGATTGTAAATAGATTATCCTTACTTAAAGTTCATATAGAAATTGGGAGTTAGTTAAAAAGTTTAATGAAATAATATAGGTATTCTGATGTATAACCTATATTACAGTTAAGTTTCATCAAAATCCTTTCAGTACTTTTCGCGTGAAAGTGTAACAAACATCCATCTATCCATTCATATACAAACTTTGGCGTTTATAATACTAAAAAGAAGTAAGATTAATGTTTTTAATTTTTATTTTTAAAAACATATATTGTAATGGATATGAACGGAGTATGTACCTGACACAGACATTGCTGGCTTACTACGTCATCCCAACATTGCATTTTTGTAATTTGATTACGAAGCTTTACGAAGAAATAAACACTTTTTCATTTTGACTTTGTACAAAGTTTGTAGCCCTGTCTCATCTATATCAGCCGCGAATATGTTTACTTTCGTGCCACCCAAAATTCACACATTATTGTAGTTTCTAATATATAAAAAATGTAATAAATATAGGTAATTTTATTACTTTTTTTATATTTACCATACATTTTATACATATACTTTATTGTATACATTTGGATTGCTTTTTTCAATTAATTATTTTCACGTACTATCGTTTTATGGGATAACATCGTTTGGCAATTATTTTGTGGACTTCCGCGATACAGTTTCGCCTAATACAGTACGGCAAACGAAGTGAGATTAAATATTCGAAAGCAGAGTGTATTATTATTTTGTCTGTCTTCAAATTAATGTTTACATACCGTATATATATACCTATATTATTGTATTAAACGTGTTTTTATATTATTTTATCTTGATCAGAAATATACTTTGTTTCTCTGTTATTCTAAGTTATTTACTTGTACAACAGTTGTTACTCTGTTAATTAAAAGTCAAATTAAAAAATCATTTATTCATGTAGGACATTTTAACTGATTATGAACGTCAAATTTTTTATATTATATTTTCTTCCCTACCGTTACGAAGGTAACTTCCCTCGCAGGGTCCAATGTATAACTAACTGTGTTGTATTGATATGTAAATGTTGAAATAAACTATTATTATTGTCAGTACATCTTGTTACACATTAATCAAGTATCTATAATACTGGAATCAATTTTAATTGCGGTTTCATTGCATAGTCACCTCACGCTATGTAACAATGGGGGGCGTAGCCCGACCGCACGAGGATGCTCGCGATGGCGCACAAAAAAAGGTAAAAATTGTATGTCGATACGGGAATTGAACCCACGATGAACTTACCGTGGGATTTGTAATGTTATTTGCTAAGAGGACTTCCCGAGAAATTATTAAAAAACACCTAGTGAATCTATTGCTCAAAATGTTGTTTTGGTACGTCAGAATGATTTAGGTAGTACATATAATAAGGAAGTGTTTATGTTTCTTTCTATAATCCTACTAATATTATAAACGTGAAAGTTTGGATGTTTGATTGTTATTCTTTCACGCAAAAACTACTGAACACATTTTGATAAAACTTTACAATAATATAGCTTATACAACAGAATAACACATAGGCTACAAATTTCATACGGATGAAACCTCGGGCACAACTAGTAATATATAATTATAAGCTTTTGGCTTATAATTATATATTACTAGTTGTGTCTATATAATTTTTAATTCAATTTAAGTGTAACAAAGGTATTAGAATAAATAACATGTTTCACTGCCTTCTGCAATTACGGGTAGAAAAATGAAAAAAAAAACATTCATTTCATTTCATTTCGTCATTCTAGTTCTAATTATCTACTGGTAAAGCAGATTCTTTACCATACGAAGAATAATCATATACATATATACTATTTCTTTACTACGTACCTAGGACTTAAATAACCTGGGTATGCTAAAAGTAAGATATAAAAATGTTACATATATTACGAGAAAACTGATAAGATTATACACATACAGGTAGGTACATGTTCATACATGTGTACGTAATGTACATACATTATCACAATTACTTATGTGTAATCACAACACAACATTAGGTCGGTATGTAACAGGCGTGAATATATTTATATCGCAAAAATGACTTTAGAATTTAATGTAATTTAGTATACTAATAGACCTGGATCTGGATTGATAGCACAACGGCCTAGATGAGAGACTAAACGCGAAACTAAAATAGGTATTACTAGTAGACCCAGCAAAAGTTGTTTTGCCATACAAATTAAAATCCCTATTTAAAAATAGGGTACATTTAGATTTACATTATAATAAAAAAAAAAATTATGTCGAAAATTTTTTTTAAAATGTTAGAGGTGGACAACCCGTATCACTTAGGAATATAAAAAATAGATAGTAGCCGATTCTCAGACCTACTGAATATGCATGTAAAACTTTATAAAAATCGGTGAAAACTTTTTCATAGGACTTTGGTAACAAACAGCTCGATACGAGAATTTTATATATAACATTACATTATATTATGGAGCTTATACTAGCGTAACAAAGAATTGAATTATTGTACGTATTAAAATTATGTTACAAATTTCTCTAGTTTGGCGGAAGGGGAGACCAAGACGCAGTTACATCAAGCAAATTAAAGACAAAATTGGGCCGTGTCGTATCAACATTTAAAGACCATGATGGAAGATCTTAGATATCACCGAAAAGAGCGTAACTCTTATTACGAGTAAATGAATGAATGGCATATTCGCGTTTGTTTGCATAGATTAATTTAGAAGGTTTTATCTGTGCACTCTATGCAAACCCGCCCGCCAAAATATTTGTGTGAATCTGTGCAAGTACCTATTTCTTTTTTTTTAATTACAGGAAACATGGCAACAGAAGTAACTATGGACAATCTATTTTCATTATAATAAAAAATCTTAAGTATTCACAGACAATCAACATATTCTTTGTTATCTATTATAAATTTGTCTGAAATTACTTATTTACCTATAGTCATAATATATAATTATAATATTATTTGTGACGCGTGATTATCAAAAACACACATCAACAAAATTTGAAGTTCAAAATCTTCGGTTCACGTAAAATAGCTAATCGAATTAATAAGCTTCGTAGTCACCAAGTTTCTAGAATTCTAGATAGGTACGTAAATAACTTAATTGACAAAAAATTGTGGATACGTAATTCGCTCACTACCTGTTAAGTATACATTTGTATACCAAAATTGAGTCATCGTACCAAATCATTCCTACTGTACTTATTTAAACTGATATAATAACTTCATTGATAAATTACTGATTTAGCAGCCAAATTGAACAACACTTTTGTTGATTTCATAATACCGTAAATATAGAATATTCTATACTAAATTACTCGCTACTTCACTAAATTACTAAACTGTATATATAAATACAATATATAAATAAAAATAAGGAGCACACTAACACAGAGGTCTAGTACTAATATCGTTAGTAAACGAAAATAACTAGTTACAAACCTACGGTATACAGTTACCGGTTCTAAATTCCTATTCAAATGTAGCGACTGGTTCCTTCCAGTAAATAAGGTGTAATATATTTGTTTCGCAAGCCATCCTCGGCGGCCAGTGCGCACGGCCTAGGCTACATAAACAGTGTAATCGTAAGATAATCAAAGCACGTGTCAAGGAACCGGCCGGTGCATTGCCGGTTAAGGTGACGAGGAAGATCAAAGTGACGTAAGTAGGCAGCAGCCGGCCGCGACAGACTGCCAAATGGGTTACGATTACGAGCATCTGCCCCGCCCGCTCCTCTTATTACGTCCATGCACTCTTTCCCTATCGGATTAGACGCTCGCAAGGTCACTGCGCCACGCGCGAACGAAACGACAAGCCGGCAGTCATAAAATACATAAAACCACTAACCTGTTCTTTTCCAACTCGTTATGAGTGGTCCTGGAACAGAAAACATACAATGTAACCGTCCACGGATGCACTAATTTCACATAAACTTCACTTCACTGCACTAACACTGTTTGAAAGCGAGTTGTCACTCTACTCACCTGCTGCCCTGCGATTTCTTCGTCTTCGGACGCTTGTTTCCAGTCCGAGACTCTTCGTACGCCGGTAAACTCGACGCGTAACCGTGTTCCGCTTCTGCAACAAAGAAAACTGCCATTCCGTCAAAATCAGCTGATTATGGCATGGCAAAAATAGACGGGAGCCATGTTGACGTGTGCGTGTGTAGTGCACTCGATTGACAATTCAAACAAAGAAAATCCAATTCACCTCTATCGCGCCTTTCGATGTATTCAGCAGCTTGGATCAGTGCAGCAATACTCATATTTATTGTATCCCGGTTTGCACACGTATTCACGAATGTTACACGAGTTTATTCGATTAAAACTATAAATAAAAGTATGTTTATCCGCTCCGCGGCTCACGACTGCATTCACCGATGTCAAAAACACACTAGGCGAGTCGGGACGCGCGATCGTGTAAACCGCTTCGTGATTTGTCGGGGACGGTCGTGCACCGCTCGGTCGCCCAATCGCGACGCGCCAATACTCACAATAAAATACCTGGGTCAATCACGTGAACTTTGTGTTTCCAAACAAAACATTTTTTTTCTATGCTCTCTTTGTAGTGCGGAGTGGTGTACTGAGCAAGTTTCATCTTGTTTTGAATAATTTGTGCTGCACTGGAGTGCAGCCACTACCTACATATAGTTCATACAGATTTAAATCAATATTTGCAATTAAAGCAGTAGCTTTTATTAGCCTCGTTTATAATTGCTTACTGATAGTAGTTACAGTTACTGATATTAAGTACTGCAGATAATAGTGTTTAGATTTCAGGGTATTTATACAAAATTCTGCAAGCAAAAAAGTAAACGGCCACAGCAGAGCGGCTTATTTAGACCAGTAATTCTAAAAGTGTCTTTCCCTCAATCCTTATTGACTTTTTCGAAACATTTGAATATCTTAAATAAATATTTAATTTTATGTACTTTCTATATCAACTGTGGTAGGTAATGATTGTATATAAAAATAAAATGTCGGTTTACATTTGTGAAACACTTTTAATGTTTAAAATATGTAGACATGTCTTAAGGGTGTCGTTTATTATTTTCAGCATGTGTATGCGGGCGAACATTACGGGAAGCAGGTGTTTCCTTGGTTCCTGTAAGAGAAAAAAAAACATTATGAGACAATTATTTGTTAGCAGGTAAGTGATTAGTTTTTGTGATGACGGAGTAATAAAATACGATATTGTAAAGCGTGAGTTACAATACATACATCTTTATAAATAACCGAAATAAAATCTGTCATATACATGAGAAGCTGAGTGTATTCTTTAATAATTGTATTATTATTGTTTTTATTAAGTGATTCTATTATCCAGTAAAAAACAAAATCACATCAATTTCATGTATAAATATGTAATTTTTATAGAATAAATACATTCTAATCAACCACCAGAGCTAGACAAATTTTTTTTTTTGTACATTCCAGCTTCTACTACATCCATCTAATTTGCTACCCATCATTTAGGGGTATAAATAATAGATAACAACCTATTCGAAACCTACCAAGTGTAGAAATTAAATTTCTTCAAAATCGATTCAGTAGTTTAGGATTCCATCTAACACAAACTATGTGACACAGAGTTTTAAAATATTAAGATTCTAAAATACTATAAATTGATTATAATTATATTTATTGGGGATAATAGCTAGAATTTTTTATGTTACACCATAGACAAAATACTTACTGTTAATATTCTTACTCTTCTATAATATTGACTAAGCTCCCTGACCATAGAACAGAGAAAATTACAGAGATGGTGAGGTCGAAATTCACACGACTTCTCGTTTAATTCAACACAGTTGCTGATAACAGATGGAAATCCTAAAATGTAGTTATAAACCAAACACCATTCATCCTGAAAAAAATCAAACACTATATTGAGAAAACAGGACTATTTTTTCCTGTCTACTACTTAAACCTTTTTCTATGGTGCCTTTAGTATATTTCTTATTTTGTATATCTTTACTGACCAATGTAATAGTGTATTTACTTTATTTTTTGAATTTATTTGCTTTTACAAAATCTCATGCCTTAAGAGCTCAAATTAAAAAGAAATTTACATTCAAAATAGATGGATCACCATGCAATATGCGAATTGAAATTATTGTAGTTATATTTACCTCTTCTGTAAGCAAGGAGAAATCTACATCTTCAAATTTAGGTAAACTAGGATATAGACCTTCAATAACTCTGTCATTATAAGTCCTTAGTATTGTTTGTAATCTTGCACAATTATACAAAATGAATGCTGCTCCTGAAATATAAGAATAAAATTATTTAGATTTCTATATAGTTATGTATATGATGATTATTTCATGGATATTTACTTTATTTGGATTTTTATATTTATCATTGGCAGTTTTGTAATATCTGAATTTAAGAATACAGTTTTTTCTATTTCATTTTGAAGTTGCACAAAAGTTAGTTTACTAATGCAATGTATGAATTGTTAATTCATTTTCTAGAAGAATGTGTTTTAAGTCTTAGCTCCATAACTACAAGTTTTTTTAATATTTGTGTAGTGTCTCCTATCTTGTGTCATATAAACAACTAACAAGATTGATGATAGGTTGTGGAAAATAGCAAGAGTTCCATCAACCACAGTGTAGTCAGTTATGAAATGAATGAATGTAGTATCTGCAAATACTGCTGGTTTTAAAAACCTGAGCAAATTTATTAATTTAAATGTTATAGTTACAAATAAACATTTACCTTTGCTTGAACCAGCTGATGAACAATCAAAATTAATTTTGACTGCACTATTAGGTTTCGTTTGCAGTAACTCAAACACAACTGCAGATTCTCCAATATGTGCTATGAAATCTTTCCATTTAGAATCTGTGGTCACCCTCACTCCATACTTGTGTTGTGCTATTAAGGTCATTTCACCTTGCCTTATTCTAAAAAAGATATTTGTTTTATTATGTTTTGTTGTAATAGTAAGTTATTGTTGTGCTATTAAGGTAATTTCGCCTTGCCTTATTTTAAAATAGTTATTTCATTGTATTAAATTGAATGTACAGATTAATTATTGGAAAATATAATCAAATATTTGTTGTACATATAAATAATAGGCAAATTAATTTGAACACAATTTATCACACTTTGACAATCTTGGCACAACTTTGTACACCATATCCTTGATTAGTTAGTTGTTTCTGTGATGTCCTATAGAACAAGGTATAGACAAAAGCTACTTCAAACTTCATAAGTCAGTAGCCTTTCCTCAATTCAGAACTTGTGAGTTTTGTATATAGTAACATAGCAATAACTTAATCACTATGAAATAATGTACCTCTCGAATTATAGAGAATTCCTTACATTGGTGCAGTGGTTATGAGTTTACTTTCCTCATAATAAATTCTACTCTCACTTTATAATATTCAAGTAACTTTACATTACATATCATTTTACCCAATTTATGAAATAGGTATTTGGTTATGATCACATAATAACAAAGTCAACAAACCTAATAAATTCATCAGCATTAATTTTTATTTCTTTGACACCAGTTTTTGCATTAAGCACTGCACCACACAACACTTTCCTGACTCCTTCATCGCAACTGGAAGACTTGGAACTAATTAAAATAACAGGCGATGACTGCTTGCACTTTAAATGAATACTACAAAAGTTTTGTATTGTTTTTGTAAGGCACTTCACCCGCAGAGATGTAATGGAGTTCACATTTTCATCATTCGGATCATTAAGAACTCTTGATGTTCCTTCTCGTATACTTTGCGCTATAAATTCGTTATTCCTCAAAGCTTCCAACAACCCCACGTGTATAGCGCGCGTTCTTTCGAGAAATATGTAAACACGTTCTCTACATTCATTCACTCTCTGTATTTGTAAAACCCAATTCTGAGACTGTTCAATTAAATCCTTCTCTTCTTTACCCACAAATCTTAGTAATGTGAACTCTCGATCAATATCAACGGGTGTAGTTAAGTATTCATGCCACGATTTTACAGCATTCGGAAAACTGATGTCGCCATGTATTGGAAGCTTTTCACAATGTTTCTTAATTAATTGTCCTTTTACAGGTTTATGCACTCCCGTTATAAAGGCCGATATTATTTCGTAGAAACTCTCTAAAACGTTTTCCAACATTTCTTTATCTTATTTTGATAAATAAAATTGGCACATGATTTGTTTTGATTTTTAGATTTCCTTGAATATTTTTTTAAACATACATCACAGATTAACTGTATAATATTGACAATTCTGTGCTAGTATATGGAAAATGACAGCAGTGCTGACTGACATGTAACGTTCGAGTAAAGGTTAATTTTCACTGAGATTATATTCCAAACTGGTAAAATCTATTAACATAAAATATAAAATTAAATAATTTAAAAATATGGCCTATATACAAAATCTTAAGTTAATGTATATTATATATATATATAGTTTAGTTTATTTCTAATCTTATTTCTATTGTACATATTAATATTAATTTTACGCTTTATTAATATTTGCCAACGAGTGTCTAACCATCCAATGCCCCGGGGGTTGTTGCTGCCGGGGCAAAGTTTCGCCTGGAGGCATCCACTTGGTCTCTCCTAGGGAGTTAGTAATGATGATGACTGTAAATTCTGTATGTACGGTACGATTCTGTCAAAATTTGGGAGCTGTCACTACTGTTAGGCAGACTAACATACTCTGTATCACTTATCTGTGCTCTGTACTGCACACGTAAAATTCAATTGTTTTTCTACTGTTATTTAAGTTTTCTATAGTTTCTAGTTAAAATATTTCAGAACTGTGTATTTTATAAGTTGATCTAGTCATTAAATTGATATTATATATTATGTTGTAAGCCACAAAATGATTCGATATATAAAATATATTTTGTACATCGCTGTAACGTGCCAGATCACCGCGGTATCATCGCACGATCATCTTTTGGAAGGTATTTATTGTGGAAAAGTGAATTGCTATGATGTACTTGGAGTCACAAGAGAGGCTACAAAGAATGAGATCGCCAAGAATTACCGACAATTGGCTAAAAAGCATCACCCTGACTTACATAGAACTGAAGAGGCTAAAAAGCTGGCCGAGGAGAAATTTAAGGAAATAGCCACTGCTTATGAAATTTTACGAGATGACGAGGAGCGCGCAGATTATGATTACATGTTGGATAATCCTCAAGAGTATTATGCTCATTACTATAGATACTACCGGCGCCGCATGGCACCCAAAGTAGATGTTAGGATCGTAATATCAGTCATTATAACTTTAATATCCATCATCCAGTACTATAGTGCCTGGTCTAAATATGACACTGCTATAAAATACTTTATGACAGTACCAAAATATAGAAATAAAGCATTGGATATAGCTAAGGCAGAAATAAAGGATCAACAAGGGAAAAAGAATAAGAAAAGTAAGGCAGAACAGAAAGAGGAGCAGGACAGGATAATTCGGAGAGTGATAGAGGAAAATATGGACATCAAAGGTGCATATGCAAAGCCCGAGGTTGTGGACATACTGTGGGTGCAACTAATAATCCTACCTTACACAATAGTATATTATATATATTGGTATTTGAGATGGTTTTGGAAATTCACCATTTTAAAACAACCATATGGAGAGGAGGAAAAGATGTATTTAATTAGGAAATATATGAAGTTAGGAAAACACCAATTCAATGCATTAGATGATGAAGAGAAGGAGGAGTTTTTAGAGGAAGAGTTGTGGGTAAAAGAGAATTTTAAGGTTTGGAAAGAGATCAAGGATGAAGAGGCTAAAAAAGCGTTGGCAGAAAATAATAAATATAAACAGTACAGAAGGTATATTAAACAACATGGTGTTGGTAGGATGACCTTTGATGATTCATGATAGTATAGAATAATATTTTACAATTATTTATTTGCATTTATAAATATAGATGATGTAAATATGAGATTGTTAATTCCATTGTGTCCATTAGCTTCCATCATTATTTATTTACATGACAAACTTAATGCTCAAACTGCTGTAGAAATCTCGTTTAGCAGAAGGGTGGCAAGAATAAAAAACATTTTTACACAATTTGTTACTTTTATTTCATTAATCTCTATTTGTCTCAACAAGTACTACAATTATTCCATTATATTTATGCCACACATCAATAATTTGCATTCATCACAATTGGCAATTTGTTAAGGCATTCTACACACCAGGTGCTCTTTATACGAAATACATCAAGGCAAGTAATAGATCTATACATAATCACAATTTGTCGTGCCAAAAAAATCACAGTTTAACAGTAATCATAAAAATCATATTAGAGATTCAAGTGTATAATATGCCAAGGATTTGTCTCCGAGTTAATGTTAAAAAAGTCTTTAAGCAAATAGTTTTTATTTAATGTTTAAGATCTGTGCAGATATGAACAGTCCTATGTGTATTTGTTGAAATGAATCACATAGAAATGCATAAGGAAATAAGATAGATCAGACACTCAGATAAAATGGGTTGGAAATGACATATGATTTTATTAGATTAATCTCAAAACTATACAGAATATTATATAATTTTTACTGATATTTAACAAGCATAACATATTTTTCTCTTTATTAAAATATATTTTAATTTTACGATTCTATAGCTCTGATAGTGTAGTATTTTTCATATAAAAAACGACGTAACGAATTCACGTGAGTTTGTAGTGACAATTTACTGAATTTGCATTTTTCTGTATACATATATACACATGTAGGACTGTTTTACAAAATCATACAGATCTCCAAAATATGAGTAGCGTATCTACAAATACCAAAGCAGCATACAATCAATTTCTACATTGGCAGTGCGATTCCAAAGCCACTTTGACACGACCAGAACCTATTATTATTCAGACATAGTATACTCGTACCAGTTAGGAACATATAGGTATATATAAGCTGCAAGTTACAAATAAAAAAATATTTATACAAATCCTATATACTGAAAATTCTGTTTGGTTGAAAACGCTAATCTCAGGAACTGCTATTTTGAATTGAATAATTCTTTCGCTGTTGGATAGCCCAATTTCCTAGGGTAGGTAGGTACCGTAAGAATGCTTTGGGATATAATACATACTGTACATACTGTTAGTTTACAATATATTCGGTTCATCATTTCTCCTATCAAAGCTAACTGGTCAACTGAGTAACAACTTCCAAACTTAGATACCAGTCTTATTTAGTTTATATCAGACTATTTCAATAAGCGTCAAGGAGTAAACTAAGGTACTTGAACAATAATGTTAGGGAACTATCGGCAATATCAGTGGCAAAATGTGGATTCAAACAGCCCGCCAGTCTATGCGTATTACTTCATACTCGTTTATTTAGAGCCGAATTAAGGTAATGGGAGGACCGTAGCAAATTCTGCCAAGAGGCCCACAGTTTGTGTTTTATTTTTCTTTAGAGTAAATATTGTTTTTTTATTATAAATGAATATATTTTTATATGGTTTAGAAGTTGTACAAATTAAAAAATATTTAAATTATTTTTTTGTTGTATTATATTCAGACAGCGGGACCTCTGGGTCCCTCAGTGCACACATTTGCTACTTCTGGTACTAAACTAATCCGGTACTTGTTTGAACATATTCTATTCGTGTCAATGCGACTTAACATTAATTACGTACATTCAATTTAGCCCCAACATAATATAATTTGGAATGTCGTATATTCATATAACATTCAAACCAACAAACATACATTATGTATACACATTTACATGAGTAGCTCACCGTTATCAATACCTTTATTATGTAACTGTATTTATTGCTTCATTGAGTATACTAAATTAGTTGCAAATTGTGCTTTATTATGATTGGGTTAGAATAGAGTATACCAAGTTAAAAGCTAGATAAAAAAAACCGTTTTAAATTTGACGCAGTCATACGTACATCATCACCTGCCTCTTCCTTATCGCATTTATTTGGGGTAGGCGTAACATGTTTTTCTCTTCCATTCACCCCTGTTCGCAGTCATCTCGTTATTCACTGTCTTTCTTAACATATAATTTTTCACAAAGTCCATCCGTCTCTTTTTCTTTCGGCCTTCCTTTGCCCTTATAACGGTCCACATTCATATGTAACACCTTCCTTAAAATACTACCACTACTAGACTGTCTAGTCTACTGATAAATACTCAAATACATATTTTTGTAAACACATACATAATATACATCGCAAATGCCCAACACAAACAGTCATACTCAAATACAAATGTCTGTACCGTACTAGGAAACGAAGCCGCGACCATCAAAATTAAAGTCATGTGCTAAACCATTAGACCACGGAGGTCAACATGAATGTGTATGACTTGACTTATCTTGGTATACTCTTTACGAACACCTTTTGCATCCCTTATTCTAACTGCAATACAAAACGTTGTAGGATTAAGACACCTGTTGTTTGTTTATGGTTTATTATAAATATAATTAGTAAATACAACTTTTAACGATCAATTAATATAAAAACCAGATCAGTCAGTCAATATACACCGCGTGTTATAGCAGTTTCGTCTTAAATGCGATATTCAATTCCATAATATTGGGAATTGGACTTTAATGCTCTAATAATAAAATCGATTTCTCCTTTTTTAATTAATGCCGTTTAGAAGGCGATATTTAAATAGCTGCAAAGTTTAAATTCAGATGCCAAATGTTTATATTTCACATTAATATTTACTAGATACGTACAGATCATCAAAAGTTAGAACTAAAAATCAGTATTAAAAAAAACATCACGATCAAAATATAGTAAAAATAAACACAATTTGAATTCTAGCTGCATTAGAACAAAGTACATTTTCGTTTAAATTCGTTTAATATTGATATTTTGTACACACCAGATACTATATCTATATAATATAAATATATACAAGAAATCTAATATTCCGTTGCTACGATTAATGTTGGGACAATGTGTACATTATATACAAAAGGAGCGGCCAATATCAATTATATATCTATCTACGTACATGTATATTATATACATAAAATAATTATTATCATGTTTCCATTTCGCAAAATCATGGCTTTAGATACCTTATTATTGATATATTCTATAAACACCACAGTATATCCAATCTTTATAAAAAATAACGCAAACTTTCATTAGGCCCTATTCACACTAACCGGAGCGCATGATCGCATGAATTCAATTGAGAGATATTTGAAGAATTCTGTACCTACTTAATAAACGCTTTTTATAACAATTGATTAGAGTATTTTTTTGATATGAGAATAACTATTCAGTCAATAATGTAATTAATTTATATTTCATTGCAACCATAATTATTATTCATTAACTTTTATACATTATTTATTTCTTGTCATTGGAATGACACTGTAAACTGTTTTAAATATGTTTTGTGTTTAACGATAAATTTGTGCATAAAACAATTTATATTGCATTGTAAAGTTGTGCATTGCAAATCATAACGACCGGCAATTTCGGAATGCGTTTTATCACTCGACATAAAGCTGGCAATTCACTTTCAAAATCCATTGCATTGATACTAGTTTCAAGCGGAAAGGCCACACCGTATTAGTATGTCCATCACTTTCTTGTAGACACTATTGCGCGTCAATATGTAGTCTTAATTCTCACGTGCACTAGCGGCGGGCGTGTTGCATTCTGCGCGGGCGCACCGCTACGTGCAAAGCGCGTCCTCACACTGGTGTCTCGGTGTCTGCCTCCTCGATCCGTCCGAGTCGCCATGCGTTTGGATCTGTTGCTGCACAAAAAGTATAATGATTCAGGGTTCTCATTAATAAAAAATATCGTCTGTTCTATAATTACGCCTCCTCTGTGTCACCTAACTACAGTCCTATTTTAGGCCTCTGATATACAGTCAGTACAATCAGTCGTCAGGTTGCCAGAATGCGACTGTCTTTGACTCTCGCGTTCTGTGTTCATATGATAAGGATATTTTAAATTAAAGAACCTTGTAACTTCACTGCCACATTTCACACTTAGAATACAGAATGCAAAGAAAATTATTTTCGACAGAATGAATGCGTGAGACAAAGGAATTAGTATAAAAACTTTCTCTAATACTGTAAAATATATATAAAACAGTGACTTAATTGAACACACACACAAATACAGCGACGGTGTTAATTGTTTTTATTGTATGTGAAATTGAAGCCAAAAATATAAGTGTTATTTTGTAATAACTTAGTAAGATTTATTAAAAATAAAACATATGACCTGGATTTAATATCAAAGTTGCTACGATTTCTTATACGAATTTAAACTAATACGATTGTTTATTGTTATAAAAATAATAGAAAATCGTGTATGATTTATGATTCATTACTAACAGTTCTAATAATGAATCATATAACACGATTTCTAACTGCAACAGTTCATACATGAACAATAAAACTTTTCTTTTAATTATTTAAAATAAAAATAAAGCCCAACAGCGTGACATACTGGACACACACATGACATTATATATGGCCAAACTGTATCTTATGTTTAAATGAGAAATAAGTTTAAAATCGGTCCATTAGTTTTGGCTCGGCTTTTGCGTTGGAGATTAAAATTAGCTATTATGAGTAAAGCATATACAACACAGTTAATTGTTGCGTTATCCAGAATATTTTGTCTATGATATTGTGCGTGTCATTTTGCTAAGCATTATCTATAGCGTGAATTCTAAACGTGTTCTTTACAATATAGATACAACTATCTATGTACAAACAAATAATATCTCTTATTGATCTCATCGTCCCTTCCTTAATGTTATTACATTTTAAGCAACTTTATAGTGACATCAAAATACTTATATTCTCTCCCAGTGAAACGAAGCATTGGTAAAACAAAACATTGGATTGTTCATTGGGTGCGTTTGGGTGAAAACAATAACGAAAAGAAAAAAAATTACCTTCGTATGTTGATCTTCCAAACATGCTTTAGGAATTTGGAGTTTAAGGATAGGACGATAAGGATAGTAATCGTTTATAAAGCTCATTATACCTTACATAAACTAGACTTAATAATAACAACTACGTATATTGTACAATAATAAAGCACACATAGGGTTAATAACCAGATACTAATAAAACAAATTCATAAAATACAGTTTAGTAGTATCTGCTCATTTTGTAAACATACGTTAATACATCACATGCATAATATTCTAAATAAAGAGATTAGATATATTAGCACTATCGGACTAGGATGATAAGGTAGATAAGGTTACCAATTGTGAATCATTATGGAAATATCATGTCTACATGTTAAATACATCATAATCCCCAAGATGTTTAAATCTCCCGAGAAATACTACTTTCACAAAAAAATACATATGTGACTATTTTAGCTATTAATCTTTACCTTTTCATGTTATTAATTTGAAAGAGAAAATATAGTCTAAATAATTAGTAATACATAAAGTTGGTAACCTTAATCGTAATATGGAGACGTCCTCATGCAAAATACAAACAATAATGACATTAATATATATAACTACATAGTACAAATTCGTTTACAAAACAATGTCATGATATGTTAATACGTAATACTTACACATAAAATTATTAAATATAACGTGCAATTAGTAGAATTAGATGAAATATAGTATATATATGTTAGACTAATATAAGTGGTATTCCTTTCTACATAAACAATCTAATTCTACATAGATAGACACTACGTATAATGCAACTGTATGTATATTTATTGTAGTTTGGACTTTAAGGATTAAGATTCGATGTCTGTGCGAAGAGCCGGTGATGGAATTTCTAAGGATATACAGAAAGAAAATAAAAAACAATATTAGTTCCTCTTGTACTTGTTAATTATAGCGCCTACACATGGTTTGATATCCGAATAATCGTATCAAAACAGTACATTCTCCTCACATGTGATAATAATATAACCTTTGAGAATGTATATTATTATAATAGACTTAAATTCATTTGTTTAATTCCACTAACTGTTAGCATGTGTCAGACCACAAATATTCAGTGCCGAAACCTGACCACCGCTACTGGAAGTGCCTATAAACGAGGCATCATCAGGCAATGAATAGAGTTTGGGTATAGTTTAGAAGCGCCTAGATAACGACTGAATTTGTTAATTGAATTTTTCTTGGTTGTACTATAAAAGTGACCTATTTTAGAGAAATGTCACTGGACGTTAAAAACTGTCAATAGTGAAATGGCAAGATCCAACAGATTAGTACGATCGATCTGATGACAACTCGTGTCGAGTGTAGACGCTTTTATTAAACATTCAATGAATATATGTTTTGGTACATAATATCGAAGCTATTACTGTATTCAGTTATTACTGAACACTAATTAATATTATGCTGTTATAAAAATAAGGACTGTTTCACACCCAACGGAGCGCATATAAAATAATAATATTTAAGCTTAATAAATATACTATAAAATAAGAATAAAGAGTAAATTAGTGTTAACCTAAGCAATAGTGACACCCATATCATTTATATATTAATACCACTGTGTAGATATAAAAAGCGGTACCCTTATGTATTGCAAAGTCAGATATATCAATAGGGTAGTGAAATAATGGCAATGATAAAGGAAAGGGTGTAGTGAGATTGGGATTCGGGTTGGAGGAGGGTATATGACATATGGGGGTTGTATAATAAGGGGGTGATATAGGGGGATCCGCGCTCAGCAGCCGGGGGCGAAGGGGTCCGCGGGGGCGGCGGTGGCGGCGCGGAGGAGGGGCGCGTGCTCGCCTGCTCGCGCGGCGACACCACGCACGTCAGCACAAGCACAACATATACGATGCACGGTACGGACAACAAGAGGACTTTACTACCTTCCGTCTAATTTACTAAAGGTATTAAACTTTTCTCTTAACTATATCATATAGGTATATCTGTAATTTCAAAAATTTTAATTTATTTATACTAGTAGAACTTTATTTAATAAACTTATAAAGATTTGCATAGCCATTTTTAGTTTTACTGCCATGCCATATTCGGAATGCAGATTCAGCCAATAAGAATGGACATTCTATTTACACCTACAAAAATCTACATTATCAGCGAATAACAAAGAGTATATATTATTTATAATAATGTCAGAACATTAATATTATAAATCAATAAAAATACATCGGGACAAAGTCGGATCGTGGTTTGTTATTTCTTTTATTTACATCTACAGAAACCTGCATTATCTGTAACATAGGCTATATAGTATACTTTCAAATCCTTGAGCACCTATGTAGGTCCTGTGCGAAGTTGAAAATTCTAGAAACCGTTAAAGCCAATTACAATACTCTAAATTGTAAATATCTAAAAAAGTAGAAGTCCTCTTGTCATTACATTTATGCTATCATTCGACAGTAGCCACAAAAACAAATCTATGCTAATATTATAAAAAAAATTACTCTAGTTATGAAAAAAATAACCTCCAGAACCACTACCGACTTGAGAAATTCACCGTTTGAAAGATACATAATTCCATAGACTATAATTATATTACAGAACTATATATTATATCATAAAATTATATGCGTGACTGGCATCTAGTTGATAATAATAAAAAAAAACTTTAATACTTTTAAATGTGGCTACTGACAAATTAATATCAACCAAAAAGGCAAATAACGTATGAAATTATTAATTACATAAACAATTACCACCTTATTGGTTTTGCTATTAACTTGAGCATGTCTGCTTGATAACACTCTAAACTAGTAAAAAAGTTATAAAAACTTTAATATAAAAAAAGAAAAGCAAGCATTTGCCGACTAAGCTAGAAATAATAGCAACAAAACAGACATGCTTAAGTTATAAAACATTAGATTATGTATATTATGACGTGTAACGACATATACACCATTCACCAATTTTTAGCGAGTGCTCTTACAGGGCACAAATTTCGAATTATAATTGAACCGAGAACGCATTTTACAAACATGTTAAATAAAGAATTATTCACACTCAACGCAGCGCATAAAGATAAAAATGCATTTATGAAACATGTTAATATTATAAAAAATCTGTTTACTACTTGAAGAAAATACAGGAACTTATGCAAATGTAGGAGAACATAAGTAGAATAATAGATTTGTTTTAATTGCTAGCGCCTGAACTAGATTACACCTTTATTTTAAAGCTAGCAACCCTTACTGAAGTTGACGTTATTTAATAAGAAAAAAGAAATATTACGACCTCGGTAGTCCAGTTGTATAGCATACTGCTTTACTTCCAATGGTATAGGGTTCGAATCCTCGCTCATTGTAAACTTTATATTCATGAGTATGATTATTTGTATTGGCCATGGAGTTTTCTACGTCTACATGGAGTCTTATACAGTATTTCTGGCTGTTGTCTAGTACTATAACACAAGCTCTGCTTAGTTTGGGACTAGATGACTCTATGTGGATTGTCTAGGGTTATTATTATTGAGGATGTTATAGTAAAATGCGTTCATAGTCCTATACACCTATTATTAACGAATGCCTGGAGCTAATTACTAAGCAATTACCAGACCGTCATCGTCTACAATCACTGCAGATAAAATAATATAAAATAATAAATGATACACTAATGATGTAACCTTTTAATTGGTACGCTCGAATGAATTAGCTTCAGTCTAATAATAAATTAATTTACGTTGATACGGACCATCATGCATTTCTAAAAACATTTCTGTACAGTTGTTTTGACATTATTTATTATTGGTTATCTACATAATAGAATAGAATTTATGGACTCGTCCAGACACAACAATAAAATATATAAACAACAATTTGCACACATCACAAAACAGTCAATGTGGACCACAACTCAGCATAACGCTGGAAACAGTTTCCAGCTGATTTTCAGTTAGGCCCACAGTACGGACAGTATTTGATATTAATATGTTTTTTTTTTCTAACTATTCAAGTTCACTAATTGATGTTTCACGCGTCCATAGACTTCCTATGCATCATCATAGTCTATGCGTGACGCCCTTTTTTATACCACAATAGTAGCAATTAAATAAACGGTCAATCTGACGGTAAATGGTAAGAACGCTACATTATCAGCGATAGGTATTTAATAAGACTACGCATATAAAATACAACAACTAGATATTCTACAAATTAAGAATAATTTATAACAATTGAACGTCAAGTTTTTAGTATTAATATTGTTGCTACCATCCAAAAAATAAAAATGCACCCGTGTGAAATCGTTTCTATAATATACCTACGGTTACGAACACTGATTAGACTATTTGCTTTTACAATAGCATACGCTGATGGTCACTCTATTCTCCTAAATTTAAATTATAAATGAATATGTATTATTGTAAACATGTACAACTTTTTTGTGAAGAGAATACGAACTGAGTTTCTTGTCAGTAATTCTCATCTCTAAATAATTCTAAACAACCGGTAGATTCGACATATCATAAGCGTCTGTAATAGAACTACATAAATAAGGATATTTTGAATTTGAATTTGAATAATACTAAACTGCATTAAATCACTAATTTCAAATTATGAAAAATCTACTTTACACCTAATACAATTACAGTTGATTTTTCTATATTTGGAATTTTATACAGCTTGAGATTATAATGTCAAAACAATTGTTCATATATCAAGTGAAGCAATCATTGGATACACACCTTGTAGCTGTCTGTTTAAGAGTGCGGTGATGCCTGGACCATCGCCCGCTTTCTTCACCACCAACATCGGTTTGTCTTCACCTTCTTCGTAACTGTTTGGCAGGTGGCCGTTACTCACTGCCATAGTTTCGCTCACCTGCAATGGAGAATATAAAAAAAAATTAGAAACCCTCGCATTTGCTAAAGAGTGCTTTGTGTAGTTGGAATTATTTTTTTACGGTATAAGGGATAAAGTACAAATTTAGATATCCTCAAATGCGACATTTGGCAGCAGACAAACATGCATGAGGCTCACCTATAGTAAGTGATTACCGCTGCCCATGAGCACCCGTAACATCAGGAGAATTGCGTACGTTGCGTTGCCGGCTTTTTAAGAAAGAAAAAGCTCAAAAAAGAAAAAAAAGTTTCAATATCGTATCAGTTCGGGAATACCATTGCTGGAAAGTGATTCCACAATGTGGTTGTGCGTCTCAAGAAATTCCTGGAAAACTGCAGTGGAGGACCGGCATCCAGATGATCTACATAGTACTTCAGTTTCTGGCGAGTGGTACGGTGCTGAAACTCAGCAGCTGGAGCATTAATCCGCACAATTCCTCAGAACACTCCCCGTGATATATGCGGCAGAAAATGCACAGAGATGCAATATCTCGCCAAAAAGCCAATGGGACGTTTTATTTTTCATTTCTCATTTTGTGACCCAGTACAGCAGTTTACGGCGTTTGATGAAGTGTACGTGTAGTATATTATTATTTATTTATTTAAACTTTAATGTATAATTTTAAAGTACATATGGCGTAACACCATGCGGCATTATCTACCAGTCAACCATGGGTGGAGCATATATATATTATATATACATACACATATATAAATACATATGTAATAATCTGACAATAAAATATCATATACTGCCACAAACAAAGGAAATAAATAAAAAAACAATGAGCATGCAGGACACAGGAAAGTTACAAGTTTCTATAAGTATTATTATACATTACATACCTGCATGAGCTTGTGCACCACGTCCCGACCTAGTATGTGGTCGAAGACCGCCTGCAGGAACGCATCCGACATGATGGACAGTTTCAACTTGTCTCGATGCCACACCAGCACTCGAGACTCTTCCATAGCCATTATTGACACCTGTAATGTTCATCAGTACGACACATTAGTACACTGAGTACATTTTTTTTTAATAATTCACTTAGCGCCATTTAGTCCCAAGTACTCCGAAGATAAGCGGAGTATTTTACAGAAATCGAATCCGCGTCATGGGAGTAAGGCGGTGTGCCTTTTAATTATTTTACTCCCTGGACAATATACACAACACCATCTATTCTCAAGCTAAGCAGAGCTTGTGTAATGAGTACCAGACAACTGTTATAACTACATAGTTATTATTTTGTTAATACATACATATATAAAGTAAACACTCAGACACACACACACAATCATACTCATGTTTGTATCGTGTGAGGAAACGCCGACAACACATTATAATGACCCCAAATAAATAGGATAAGGAAGGAGCAGATGATGTATCGTGCTAGGAATCGCACCCGCTCCATCGGAAACAAGAACGTATGCCAAACCTCTGGACCATCGCGGTCGTCAATTGCACAGTATTTATGTATGGATACAATTATAGCAATCGGAAATATTACATCTGCAACGACTTTTTACAAAGTCGTCTTTCTGAGTACCTCAGTCACGCCTATTTCAACAGCTTCCTTTGTAAGCTGTGTTTCTGTTTTTGGCAGCCAGAAGATTGCCAGCAGACGAATACACAGCTCATCATTTTTGACACATCTTTGACAACTGAATAGACGGATGTCAAGCAAATTATTTCAAATGCATCGTTTGTGTTCAATGCATTTGAAAATGAAGGTATAACTGCTAAAAACCATAATAATTAACAGCAATCCCATTTGTACGAATTGTATGTTAATATGTATATTGCAAAAGTGTTGGCCGAAGGGGCGAGGGGCAGGGAGGGGTTAAGGGTGTGGCGCATATTAAAATTAAGATGCGGGGCTGCTTTTGGGTGAGATTAGTCAGTGAAATTATTGGATACTAGAAATGACATCTCAGTACTCTAGAATGAAAACATGAACAACATCACAAGCGTATTGATATCGTGATGCCCATGAAGTTTATCTATATCACCGCGTGTTATGCTTACCATCAGGTGTACCGTAAGCTTGTTTGCCATTAAAATTACATAAAAAACTAATTATTACACGGATCCAATTATAAATGAAAATGGACACGTTACATCCGCAACTGATTTAAGCAACAGCTGCGCACACGCAGCCATTTAGTAAACAATCGCTGTTTTATGACACTTTCACTATCCTTGTACCACTGTACGCGTGGGGTGGGCGAGGTGAACGACTGGTCTTATTTGGTGGTACCATACCATACTGTTTATTGGCTGCATATGGTATTCTATCTTTGTTGATAACTCTATTATTTACTATTGACCCACGCAACGTCGTCTGCATCAGACTTATTTGACATTTATCATTATATTTCACCCAATTTACATAATATCTTTTGAAATGTTTTGTATCTATAAATGCATAAACAATGATCAATTTTTTTTTTCTAATAGCTGTGATAACTTTATCTGTCAAGATTAAAAAAAATACCTGGAAGAACTCGTCAGTGGAGACCCCGAACCACTCTGGCGAGTCTAAGAAGTGGTGGGGAAACACTATATGTAACGCCCTCTGGTTCTGTGACACCACCAATCTGGAAAAATATAATAATTGGTATCACTTTCTTTACTAATACTAGGTGACCCGGCAAAAGTTGTTTTACAATAGGTGATAAAGGTAGTCCCTATCATCTAAGAGTCTAGAAAATAGCTCATTATCAATTCTTCAAATAATAATAATACACCTACTATAATAAAATTCACACAGAGCCATCTAGTCTCAAACTAAGCAAAGCTACGCAACGGATTTTAATACACTTTCAGCAAAGATAGTGATTTAAGGTGAAGATTCATATATATAATACATGTAAACCCGTGCAAATCCAGGGCGCGTAGGCAGTTAGATTATAAAGCGAAAGAGCAGATTTTGTTACAGGAAAGTAAACCTGGAAGTCAATTTGTTTTATCCTCTTACTGTATGTTAAAAAAATATCTCTTTTGAACAAAGTTTTTTAATTACATAAGTACAATAAACGGATAGACGCGACGGGGGACCTAATTTTATGATAGTATTAGCAGTAATACACCAAACACTGGCAACATTAAAAAGTTTAATAACAAAAGTTTAATAAACTCTGGTTGGTCGTTAGAAGACAGTATTTAACAGGGGCTGGATATAGCTATGTAATGTTTCACTTTTTGTATGAGCAAAACACTGTTATATCAAGCAAATAAAAGACAAAATTGGAGTCGTGTCGTATCAACATTTAAAGATGATGGAAAATCGTGGGAAGTATCAAGAGCTCCATCGACAAGAACGTGGTTCTTAAATTGTATATAAATGAGAATTTTAGGGGATCACAATTGTTTTAATAATAATAATAATAATCTCAGGACAATTCACACAGCGCCATCTAGACCCAAGTTAAGCTAGCTAAAGCTTGTATTATGGGTACTAGACAACTGATACAAATACATAGATAATTTTTTTTTGTAAATACATACATATTATACATAAAACCAGACCGATACAAACAATCATACTCATGAATACAAATGTTTGTGCCGTGCGAGAAATCGAACCCGCGAGCATCGGACGTAAAGCGGTGTGCTAGACCGCTACACCACCGAGGTCGTGTTTTAACCACTTTAACCGGCTGATTCGATAACAACGCAATAGGGGTCAAGTAATGACATGATTACTGTTGCCACCGTTAAATGAACTGTGAGTTTGTTTACCATGTGCAATACACTTACATAAAAAAATAACATTTGCCTCTGTACTAATAAATTATATAAATATAAATAGTTTTATTAGAGTAGTATTTGGAACCTGCACTTTTAAGATACTAATAGTTATTACTAGAGCCAAAGATAACCAGGTATTGCGAATATCCAAGTGATTCGTAAAGTTATTTTCTAAAATTTCTTGTTTAGCCAAACAGACAAAATTCCAAATATTTAAAAACATAATGCTACTGCTATCACTTTCATTTCAGTATTCAATTCAAATTAAAAAAAAAATATTAATATAGGACATGTAGCCAGTCATATATTCATGTAGTCTCTTACGAAATTCAAATAATTTTACTACCGTCCAGTTCAGTTTAGAGACTGAACTAAGTCGTTAGCTCATCCTATAGATGATGTAGGGTAGGTTCCATCTCATTGGGTCTGTCCTATCAGAATGCTCGTCGGAGGCCGCGAGTTTGGTATGCCAAGGTAAAAAATTGTTTTTAACTTCACTTCTTTTTTTCAAATTGTCGAGTAACCTTTTAACTAAATACCTATCTATTTTTTCCTTATATTATAGATTAAAGTACGAATGATCTGTCGTACTAAAAATGAACAAAAGTCCTTAAATTAACAAAGCATAATAAATATTCCGTCATCACAATCAAATCGTTTCCTAGGTGGGATTCCATCACGTCTACAGCGAAATAATTATAAAAGCTATTCGTGATCCTTGACATTATCCCGGTTGTGTGCCCCGAATATAATACCCGAGTGAGCTCAGTGGCGTACAAAGGTCGCCCTTAACAGGGTTGCCAACCTGTGAGGTTTTTAAAATCTATACGAGTTTGAAATGATTGTCCTAATTGATGCCAACTGAATTCTTGCTTGGAGATATCTGTCATCGAGACAAACGGGTGCTGCCAGACTTCTACCGGATGACAATCCCGATAAAAACCCCGAAGTGTTACTTTTGGAGGGAGTCCTCCAAAAGAAACACCTCGGCACACTCAGCAGGGGTGGGGCACACAACAAAAGTTATGAGTAAAGTTTTAGCGTGCAAATTGAGTATTTACGTTTAATTTAATTTGTACAGAACCAATATACGAATATTATATAAAAATATTCGTATATAATATAAAATTTTAATATGTACAGTCATTCCCAAAACTTTATACTTACCTAGAATTTTACGCGTGTTAAATCCATCATGGAGATCCACTCGTTTCAAAGGTAACTACCAAAATACTACAAGCTAAAAACCTTGTAGGAATACTCCTATTCTATATCGCGGTAGAGATATTGAGTCAAAGCCGCTTGTGCAACTCGCTCGTCAACTATAGAAGGTTGCCAAGCTTTTTACTAGTATATTACTACTACAATTTAGGGTACTGCCAGGATTCTTAACAGCAATAAACCCAAAAACCACTCAGATTAATCCCCCGTCCAATTCAAACAGGGATCGAAATTACGATGGCCTGAGCCGAGGGTCGAACCCTAGCGGTGCACTTAGCGTATCCGTAAATCTGATGTTGGCCTTCAACCGCTCTATAAGTCCTTCCGCAAGTTTGGAGTATACCATTAGGCCAGCATTAGATTAGTTCGAAAAAAAAAATATTCCCTACCATTTCACCGGGTCCATGGGGAAGGTTGACAACCCTACTTCTAATAAAGTCTAACAAAGGCACAGGGTTGTTGCGTTGACGTCATCGAAACCTTTAACGCTGCCATCTCCCAACATTATCCAAATATTCCAATAGCGACAGCTCATTATTCATAATATTTATTACACACTAATGGCACGATGTAAAAGAACCGACGGAGTGTAATGGAGTTAATGAATAGTGCATAATTGAAACGATGAGCTTCTAGAAATTGTCTATGGACGATAATAGCTTTATTCTGAAACACGGACGATTTTCTCGTCTACTTTATTCCATTTGTTCTGTTTGGAAGATTTTAATAATAACGATTTTATATATGTTTAAAAAGGATGTTCATAAACAAAACTCAGTACTGAAAACTTACACCTTAAAAAGAATAGAAAAATATATGTACATACTCGTGTTTAAAATATAATTCAACATTAAACATTCAAGAAATATAAATTTCCAAGAATATTATTAATGGATTTAATAAAATTTACACATGTCATTCTGATGACAATAACCGTGATCATTAAACAATCACCGTCTTCATCATCTCTTTACATTTATATTTCAGTATCTACGACAATAGACACAACAACAGAAAACTTTAACTGATTGGAGAAGTTTTCTTTGCCCATCAAAGTTGCTCCACTTATTAAAAAGTTGGAAGAAGTCGAAGTTCATGATCCTGCTATAAGTACAGTATGATTATGGCGCGTATAATACAACTAGCTGTCACCCACGACTTCGTCTGCAGAAACTTTCGTAACCTATTTCAGCCCCTTCCAGATTAATATCTGAGACTAGCTTTTGCCCGCGGCTTCGCTCGCTTTAATTTATCCACTTAGGGATGCAATTTATCAAAATCCATTCTTAAGGGATGCCTACGTCATTGTAGCTTTATGCATGCAAAGTCTCAGCCCAATCGGTTTAAAATTGACAAAGTTTCATACAAACTTTCATCCCCTATTTTATTCCCTTGGGGGTAGAATTAATCAAAATCCTTTCTTAGCGGATGCCTACGTCATAACATCTACCTGCATGCCAAATTTCAGCCCGATCCGTCCAGTGGTTTGGGCTGTGCGTTGATAGATCACTACGTCAGTCACCTTTGAGTTATATATATTTAGATAAAGGATAGGGTCTTCAAGAGTCGTTCAGTTCTTTATCTGTGAAAAGGTAACAAACATAGATAGACACACCTTAACCTGTCTAATATTAGCACGAAAATATGGATATGTAAGTAAAGATTAATCGATTTTGCAACTCTAATCGGCACCTCTATAAAACCCTCATGATATCTGTCATCGCATTAAAGAGTAAGAAAATCACTACTAACTTCTTCGTAGATTAGGATTCATATTTGTTGTCGATAGTATGTTATCTGTATTTTGCATTTTTCATTCTAACCCTAATGACATATATGAACCGTTATATTTATCTCCCATTTAAGCTTAACCTGCCAGTACCAGGGTTGCCAACCATAAATCATTTAGCCTAGAAATAAAATCCTTTAAAATCTCGTATATTAACTCGATTTGGCTCTCTAACTTATTTTATTGCAAATAACCAACAAATTATATTAGTATTGTTACATCATTTGCAATAATTTTTTAGTGCAGTACAGTATAGTTAGTACAGCCGTACATTATTATTTTGTATCGTTTCGTATAGCTCAAACTATCGTACAAACTTGTACAACGATGAAAATGTTCTCGTATTAAAGTCCGACCTATCGAAATCTCGTTTTTTGTAGCATAGGGGCAAAAGAACTTGCGGCAAATCGGTAAATGATTACCGCTGCCCATGAGCACCGTCTAGGGGAAGCAAGTCTTGACTTACTGGCTTTTTAAAAATGGATGGTCAGGGAAAGGAATTAGGAAAGATACGATAAGAAAGGAAGATGGTCGTTGGAAACCTCGACTTAGCATACAAAAAGCGAGAATACGTCTGTATTCTAAAAAAGTGTGATATCTTAATATATTCTTTATTGCACTTTTAAATACAGTTCTAATCTTAAACATATACAGAGTGAGCAATGGTGGACTTATCTCTAAGAGAGATTTCTACCAGTCAACCCAACAGTGAGGCATAGCTAGTAGTGAGTAGGTAACACCTGTGCAATTAACAATATTATGTTGAAATGTTTAAAAGTTGAGAAAAATAAAACATTTAAAATTCAACAAATTCAATAATGTTCTAATTATAATAAA